TGTGTGTGATTCTTAAACAAGACTAAACTGTGATACATTCATGTGAGTGAATCTTAGAAAACCTGTGGTAGTTTGAGCACCTAGAGTCCACACGTCTTCATGTGTCACAAAGTGTGGGGCTCGTCAGGTCTTCAGTCATCACAGGTTGAAGTGTGAACCTGCCACAGAGGACAGGAAGGTGCAAAGGTACTTTGCAGAGGAAATTAGGAAAACAAAGATGTGACATGTGAGTAAACTGGTAACTTCTCTCTCCAATTTATTCTAAATTTGTCCAGATGAAAGCTCGTTTTGAAAACTAGCATTTTTTTGTGGTGGTCCTGTTCAGTCTTGTGGCAGTTGGTGTCATTTTTGCTGATTAACAGCTTTGTAGAACAGCTGGGTGTTCCAAGAACCGAAAAGACTCGCCACTTCAGAATGAAAGCAGTAAGTGTTTTTATTTACAAATGCAGAGGGGTGTAGAAACTGGAAAGATCGACAGAGAGGTAAGTAACAGATAATCATGAAGAGGTACTTTAATATTTGATAGAAGAAGAATTTTCTTACTTTGTGATACCAACAGTTCATGCTCAATAATCCAGGTTACAAATCAACAATATTCAGTCAGATCGTCTGTATGTTTTAATTTATTTTATTTTATTTTTTCCTGAGACATTTCGTCCTTCATCCGAAGGACTTCTTCACTCTGACAAGCCACAGATGGAAGCCACTATAGGAGTGTGGTATTTGTGGGACTCCAGTTTGTTTGTGGCTTCTCGGACTGAAGAAGTTCTTCGGATGAAGGATGAAACGTCTCAGAAAAAAAACCCCAAAGAAACCGTCTAGATGAACTTGTTTTCTGTTTCAGGCTTGGAGGAGGTGACATAAAGGATTCCAGTTTCCGGACGACAGATGCAGGTCACCAGGAGGTAAGTGGATGCATGAGGGAGAGTGACAGGTGGAACCAGAGGTGGAAAATGAAGCCAGTAATGTCCATGTCTTACTTTACAGGTTGAAGGATGAGAGGCTCCAGGCTGAGTATGGCGAGACATGAGGGAACCAAACTCACAGGAGGCGGTTTGAGGCAAAGGAAGTAAGTTTCCACAGCAGATGGCTGACAAAATATGAAAAAGGTAATCAAAAGTTAGAGCTGGTCTTTTACTCAAAATATATTTGCAATGACTGTAAGTTACTTCACTGCAGGCAAAGCAACACTCGAGCCTCTGTAAGTGATCTGGCTTCAGCCATCATGTGGTCCTAGCTCAGCAGGACAGCAACCACAGCTGAAGATGATGGACCACACCTGCCACTCATGAGCTGTAAAGAAGTGGTCAGTGACAGGCAGAGGAACTGGAATCCTCATAATTTGTACATATACATGTTGACTAAATCTACAAGTTCTTTGAGTTATTTTATTCTGTTTTTGTCTCAGGCCTTACTAATATTCTTCCATTAGGTAAAGTTATTAAACAGCATGGGATAAATTTTCATTGTTATGCTGATGATACAGTTATATTTGTCCATGAAACCCAATTAATCCATTCAGTTACTTAAGTTACAAGCATGTCTTAAAGACAAAAACCTGGATGACCCTAAATGTTTTTCTTTTGAACACAGACAAGACTGAGGTTTTAGTTTTTTGACCTGAACATCTTAGGAATACATTTTTCAGTCTTTCACCCTCCTTTGATGGTATTAATTTGGCCTCCAGTTCTAATGTTAGAAATCTTGGTGTTATTTTTGAACAGGACATGTCTTTTAAAACCCACATTAAAAATGTTACTAACTGCCTTCTTCCACCTTCCACTAAAATTAGAAACATTTTGTCTAAAAATGATGCAGAAAAACTGGTTCATGTATTTGTCACATCTAGACTGGACTATTGCAATGGTTTGTTATCTGGGTGTCCAAATACTTCTTTAAAAAGTCTTCAGTTGATCCAAAATGTTGCTGCTAGAGTCTTAACTGGAGTTAGTAGGAGAGATCATTTCTTTCCAGTTTTAGCTGCTCTCCATTGGTTCCCTGTCAAGTCTAGAATTGAATTCAAAATCTTACTTCTAACCTACAAAGCTCTCAACAACCTAGCTCCATCTTATATTTGAGATCTTATTGTGCCATATTTTCATAACAGAGTGCTTCGCTCTCAGACTGCAGGCTTATTTGTGATTCCTAGTGTTTCCAAGAGCAGAATGAGAGGAAGATCTTTCAGTTATCAGGCTCCTCTCTTGTGGAACCAACTTCCAGTTTCTGACTGTAAGACTGAAACATTGTCCAGTTTTAAGATTTCCTTTTTGATAAATCCTATGATTAGGGTCGGCTTTTTATGCTGCCTTAAGCTTAGACTACTAGAGGACAAATTTACCTAATTTCTTTAAATGATTTGTTAAAATTGAATAGTTTTCATTTGATAATATTTCTATCTTAACGTGATTCTTGACCTGCCATTGTGTATCTGTTCCTACCAAACCCAGCCGGTCGAAGCAGATGTCCGCTTGTCCTGAGCCTGGTTCTTTCTGCTAAAGGTTTCTTCCTCATGAAGAAGTTTTTTCCTTTCCACTGTCTCCTTCATGCTTGCTCAAGATGAGAGTCTGTGATGGAGTTAAATTCAAAACAGTCTGCTCCTCAGATAAATAATGTTAAATTGTTATTTTTATATATGAATATTTCTGTTCAGTGCCCTGAGACAACTTCTGTTGGGACTTGGTGCTATATAAATAAACTAAATTGAATTGAATTGAATTAATTCTAAAACTGCATCTTAAAAACACACACACACAAAAAAATCTTTGTCTTACTCTCAGTGGTAAATCTGCATTGTTGCCACAGTTCTGTTTCTGATTGAGTCTGTTTTTGTTCAGTCTTGGAGCCTGAAAGTCACTTTATCACTTCATGCAGTCTCGAGGCAGCTTTATTTAAAAACCAGGCACTCAGTTTCCTACAAAATTTAACAAAGTTTTTAATCCCAGCGGGACTTTTCTCTGTCTCTCGGCTCCCTTCAAGCTGTTCCTGGTTAAGGCATCGACAGTATATTTGACACAACTCTTGCACCCACTTCCTCACAGTCATAACAGACCCGAGGGCAGAGTAGGGCACAGCAGTTCAGTTTGAAGGTTAACGCTGTTAATGAAGACAGGTTAGCCAGCAGGATCGCTTGTTTCTTTCTCTGTTTTCTTGGCATAATGCCACTCTGCAGAAGCTAATAGGATCCAAAGTCTCTGCAATTACAGTCAAATGACCAAAAGAAAAAAAAACGTCAATGTCTCCTTCAGTCACTACTTATTTACACTGGAGCTAAAAACCCTAATAAGGTAGTTTCTACTAAAACAATTTATTAAACAAACAGCAGAAGACGGCCAGTGAATCAGTTGAATAGATGACCTGTCAAATTAATTCCTTTTTTGTTTTCATCTGATTCAGGACTAAAAATAAACTCTTACACTTCTCTCAGATCTGAACAGTTTCAGATGAACCTCCTTCTGGCTAGAATTAAAACAATGGAACCTAAAGAAGAAAATATTTAATATAACGTACATCGGTGCACATGCTTCTTCAGAATATGTCCCCCCTCAACTATTCCAACGTAAAGTAGGTGTTACACACAGGTTTGTTGTTTAAAACTGTGTGAATCGGCACACTAAGACCTTTATTGCTCACTGAATAATGCAACCGATGATTTTTTATGGGACTTCCTGTCAAGGACTAATTTGTAGACTCTGTTATGCCTTTTTAAATGTGCAAGTACTTGGATATTATGGCTTCAACTAAACTGACTCCCAACACTTTCGTTAGGAGCAATGTAAAACAGTAGGTGGTTTGCTTGGTAGTTTATTGAAAGCAATAACAGCACATGCAGCCCTGTGCTCCCCAAAGAGAAGAATAACGGCATATGAATAATAGATTGATCCAAACATCTTTTAACAAGTGTAGCTCATGGATTTCTTGAGAATCTGGCTTTGACAACTTATATTTGCTTTGCTTTCTTTGTATCGGTTTAAGGGAGGATTTTTTTTTTTTTTTTTTTAATAGATCACTGCTAGTTTGATTCTGAATGTTTTTTTCTACCGGTGGTGCTTCAAACGTGTTAATTTAAGAGCACAACTGCAGATTGTTTACATTGGAGTGTCAACGCAGTCGTGTTCCAGCATGTCCCCAATGACATTGTCTGTAGAATTATTCTCTAATGTTTGTATTCATAAGGAGACATCTAGACCATTCTTGATTGTTTAACTACACCATTGCTGCAAATAAATGAAAATACTACACTATGCTGTTTTTCTTTTTGGCTGCTCCTTTCTTCAGGGGTCACCACAACATGCACATTTACACAAAATATTTGGCTCAAACCTGCAGCCTCAGTATAACCACAGCATTGACCACTGAGCCACAGCAGCCCTCAAAAATACCATTCTATGAACATTACCAAATACACTGCCTGGCCAAAAAAAAAGTCACCACCTGGATTTAACTAAGCAAATAGGTACGAGTCTCCTATTGGATAGTTATTGCATGGGTGGTTATCTTTCAGCTGGCAACAAGTTATTTAAGCCCAACTGGTGCAATGAGTTGCTTCTCATTTCTTGAACAACCGTGTTGAAAGACACATCGTGTGATCGTGGAAAAGATGTCAGTCTGTTTGAGAAGGGTCAAATCATTGGCATCAAGCAGAGAAAACATGTAAGGAGATTGCAGAAACTACTAAAATTGGGTTAAGAACTGTTCAACACATTATTAAAAACTGTAAAGATAGTGGGGACCCAATGTCTTTGAGGAAGAAATGTAGCCAGAAAAAAATGTGGCCTACCGTACAAGCCTGTGCAGGCAGTGCTATGATCTGGGGTTGCTGCAGTTTGTCAGGTCTAGGTTCAGCAACAGTATGTGCTGAAAGAATGAGGTCAGCTGACTACCTGAAAATACTCAGTGACCAGGTTATCCCATCAATGGATTTTTTCTTCCCTGATAGCACAGGCATATTCTAAGATGACAATGCCAGGATTCATCGGGCTCAAATTGTGAAAGAGTGGTTCTGGGAGCATGAGACATCATTTTGCAATTTCTCGGACTGGAGTAGAGGCTGGACCTATTTTAAAGATTTAAAAACAATAATGACAGCACCGTGGTCTAATGCTGAAGTGCTGGTGTTTTTTTGTTTTATTTGTGCTTGGTGGCTGATAACAAAATTCGGAGCGAGCTAGATGAAGCTCAGCCGGTCTACCCGGGTCCTCTCCACCGGAGCGTCGGTGCCGGGCAGGGCGTCATCTCCTCAAGCTAAAAGTTATCTGTGGAAGTTAATCAGTCAGTCCCTGTCTGAAGATCCTCTACAGCCATGGGTGTCCTTGGAGAAGGATGGGACAGTAATGTGTGGCCACTGCACTTTAAAGCAAATGTGAAAACAGCCAGCCAGACATGTGAAGCCATCGCTGGACCACAGCATCAGGATCTGAGAGTTTGTGCCTCCAGACTACACATCAACTGCAGCCGGCCATACCTCGGAGCTTCTCCGGACGCTCTGCTCTCCTGCACCTGCTGTGGCAATGGTGTTTGGAAAATAAAATGCCCACATTGTGCCAAAGATGCTGGAGTCCTTGGTGCCTCAGTAAAGAAACATTTCTGGATTTGACAACACAAACGGGTCCTATGAACTAAGCAGAGGTCACACAAGTTCAGTTGTTTGTGACAGAGCAGGAGTACTGTGACTTCACGGTGTGGTCTGGGTCAGATTACTTTATTCAGAGGATTGTGTCTGATGGGGATTTCTTTACTGAAGCAGTGAAAAATGTAGAAATGTTCTATAGGTCAGTGTTTTTACCTGAGCTATTTGCCATATTTTATTTTTAATTATTACATGTTTTGGAGCAGCCAAACTAACACAGGATTTAATCACATGGTTAAGATTCCACTGATGATATTTTTAGATTATATTTCATACATTACTGCACATGTAGCAATATGTTTTTCTGTTTCTACAAATAACACCAGTCTTTAATTTTTTTAACTGTTACAATTATATTGACGTAAAACATTTACAGTATTCAAATAAAGTTGCTTTGATATTTTGATTGTAATTGATTAATGTGTATATATATATATATATTTATTTATGTGTGTGTGTGTGTGTGTGTGTGTGTGTGTGTGTATATATGTATGTATAAATATATGTATGTGTGTGTGTATATATATGTATGTATAAATATATGTATGTGTGTGTGTGTATATATATGTATACATATACATATATATATGTACATACGTATGTATATACATATGGTTATATTTATATATTATTATA